CCGTTAAGGACCTCCTAATGTCAGAAGGGGAGAGGAACTCTCCTCTCAGTGAAATCCTCCTTGCCCAGATCAAGGCTGGGCAGTCACAGAGAATGTGACTGTAAGTCTCGTCAGCTTCTAAGCAGAATCGACACTCCATCTCTTTGGACAGACCTATTTTATTAAGGTGATAACGCAGTCCATAGTAACCCGTTAAATATCCTGATGAGTTGCTGATGAGTTGTGTTGTTGATATTTTGATAATTAATTGAATATGTGTAAATAATTTGTTCTTAATCAATCAATTACTTTTGTAAAATATTGATTGCGGTGATTACAGTAATAATAAGAAATATATTACATATCAAACTCTTATTATTCATACTTATTAAATTAATTTTATAGGCTATAAATTACCTTAATTATAATAAATGGTCTTAATAAGATAATAACAGATAAGCATGAAGAAATAATTTTCATACTCGCACTATTGAAAATAATGAAACGTAATTGATTTGACTTAATTTACACATATTTTATACTCCTACATATTTTTACGCAATTTATGTGTTCATAAATACATAAAAATTAAGTGTTATGACTTTTAGAATTGCAAAAGATTATTACAAAAAAAACAAAAAAAAAAATTATGAAGTAAATAAATCGAATTCCACAGTTGAAACGATTTTCATGTTAAACTTCTTCCTTATGTGCCGTTTATTGTCAATAATGAACCAATAACCAATTAAATAATTAATATAGTTAATAAAATATATAATAAAATTGCAATGAATATTTTTCTATTCAAATAATATATTATTTCCAATACTTAAGTCGGAAATTAAACCAATACCGCAGTAATGAAGACTAAAACAAAAGACTTAAGACACAAACTTCTCAAGCGATCGAATATTTACAGTCGCGGCACACGCAATATTTATAAAAAGGTTTTGCTTTATAAATGTTTTGAGTAGTCGCACCTTGCAGTCACACACTTTAAGATATTGAAAAGAATAAAATAGTTGAAGAAGTAAAAAAAGAAAGTAAAAATAATTAATACAACTGCAACACGCAATTTTGTATTAATTTAAAAAAAAATTATAAAAAAATATTTAAAATATTGTTGATATTTAAATATAGCAGATGCATCTTCATAAAAACTATCTTCATCTAATAGGATTTATATGGCTTAATAGCAACGCAAGCATTTTACAAGAGTTATCTCAATGTGTGGAAAATGCCGAAAAAATAATTTAAAAAATTATGAAAAATTAAACAAGTGAATTAGTGAAGAGTATCTAGAATTTCTAAGAGATTAGATAATATCAAATATGAATGTAAAGAGAAAACTGGTTTTATTTTACTTTTAAGAGAAACTTGCAAAATTACTGCTTTTATCACAACAATAGCAAGCACGACAGAAACCTATTAAACTTCAAATATTTTATGTAGAATTATATGTTAATAGGTATTTGGTTGGTCTTTATGACATTATAAGTACACTACGCATATAAATGATTAGTTTTGTTTCAAAAATATTCTATACATTTTTTACAGTTACTTATTTTCATAATTAACTCGCTAAATATATAGTAATTAGTCAAATTTATTTTAGTGGTTGGTTGGTTACAGCGGCAGATTACCATATATTTTCCACTGTCCATAACTAGAAATTTTATGCAGAAACTTTAAGAGATAAAAAAAAACAAAGTACATCCCAGATCATTCGTTTTTGCCGATGAGCAATTTGACACATCTCTAACAACTTATTTCTTGTGCAAGCCAAAACAGTCACAGAGAAAATGAATAATTGTTGCTCTTTCATGTAAATTCCCAAAACATGTGCTCAAAAAAAACACTTCTTTAACAACCTATTTGTTTTGGAAGCACTGATTTAATTAAACTTTGCTATTTAATTAAGAATTTTAAATTGCATGACAAGAAATCTATATCGAATAGATAAGAGATTGTGAAAATGTTCAAATACAAAAAAATATTTTTTTGAGTTAATTCTTGAGTTGATATTGCTGTTTCGGATATCGTCAAATATCGGTTATTAGTAGTCTTTGGAAAAATCGGTTAGTTTAATTGCCGTTTATAAGCTCTGAACTGCAAATATCAGTAAATAAATCTTTTTAACTTTGAACAGTGGACTCGTGTACAAAAGCTCAGGTTTTACATATAATGGATTGACATGAGAGCTTTGTTTGTAATTTTAGTTATCAAAAAAAATTTAATTTTGTATTGAAAGCAACAACAATTGACAACCCAAATTATTAATATGACAGCTAAAATTATTCTTGATTTCGTTAGCAAAACCATGGTAAGTTCAAAATAGAATTGAATCGTAAATTCTTTAACTTGGACATTTAACCATATGTTAGTACAGTATTGTATAGTAAGAATTTATGCTTTTTTGAATAGTTTTGCAGACTGAAAGAAATTTTCATACAAAATGAAATAAAAATTGTTATTTATCATGTGTATGTATCATAAGTGCAAAATAAATATTTTGTGAAAATAGTTAAAAACTGTGAACAATATGATAATACTAACAATCATATTTGAATAATACATCGTGTGAAGCGATATTTTTGCTTTTTAATTTCAGATGTCAGTTTGAAATTTTTGATAGCTAAAATTACAATCAAAACTCTCATTTGAATGCAGTATTGAAATTTTATCAATTTTTATTGATTTTATTGGTATTCATAAACAACCATTGCACTTGCTGTGCTATTAATTATAACTGACACATAAACCACAGCTATTACATTATCTCATACAGGATTCACATGAGAGATACCTATGTTTATTATTTTAACTGTCAATTGTTGTTGCTTTCAATGCAAATAAAAATTTTTAACAGCTAAAATTATAAACAAAACTATCGTATGAATCGAGTATTAATTTGTGTTAATAAATTTTAGAGTTTTGTCAATTTTTATTGGTTGTTTATAAACAGCCATTGCGTTGGCTGTGCTATTAATTATAGCTATTATATAAACCATAGCTATAGCTAACTTAACTTATCTTAATTTAAGTTAACATACACTTAATTTCTGTTACTTAAATTAAGAATATTATTATTTTATTATTCATTTAACTTCTGCACTATCAATAGTCTTAATTAAAACTAACGCATTTAACGACAGTTATATAAAATATTACTCATACATTATAAATTGCTGGTTTCTTCAAACATCAACATCAACACTGACACTGATTTATGCATTGTATCGAATCTATTAGACGCACCATTAAGCGTAGTGAATCAAGTGTATTAATAGCGCTAATTGGTGCAAATAAGAGTGAGAGTGAATTTGAATTTTTGGTGCTTATCGTTTAGTGGCGCGAACAACAAGTGAATACGAACAACAGTTAGTTTTGCTGTTAAGCACGGCTAAGCTAAGACCAGCTAAGACCAGCTAAGAAGCGTGAGCCTATGTAAGAGACGAGCAAGCAGCTTAGAGCTGCTGAGCATAAGCAGGGCAAATGTGAGCTATTTCCTCTCGAAATTTTTCGTTTGTTATTTGTTTTGTTTTTGTTTTTGTTTGTTTTGCTTTGATTACAGCTTGTTTTAAATTATTTTTTTTTTCTTCTTGTTTTGTTTTTTGTTTTTGTTTTTGTGTATTTTTTGCTTTACTTTTGACTTTTAATAGCAAATGCAGCTTGATGCTGGCTTTGGTGCTCGCTAGTGGAGTAGCTTTTGCTCTTACCATTTCTGCTGCTGCTGCTGCTGCTGTTGTTGCTATTGCTGCTAATGCTAAGCCAAGTTTACTTGCCAATATTATGGTGGTTGTTTTACTTGTTATATTGTTATTATTTTTATTATTGCTATTGTTGTTGTTGTTGCTGTTCTTGCTGTGTTTGTTGCTATAGTCATTGTTATTGTTGTTGTTGTTGTTGAAATTATTGTGTGATATTGTAAGCTAAGGTAGAGTAAGTAAGGTAAGATATGGTATGGTATGGTATGGTAAGGTAAGGTAAGGTAAGGTAAGGTTGTGTTTTATGTTGTTTTTGTTTTATTTTGCTTTGTGGCGGTGTTGTGTTCTGCAAAAATCAAAAAGAGCACAAGACATGAAAACAAAAAACAAAAAACAAAAAACAAAAACAAAAAATACTAAAGTGCTTATGCTAAAATTGTTTGCTTGACGTTTACACAGACTTCATTCACTATCAGTTTCAGATCGTTTGGGTAAATCAGTTAAATGTGGACGCTGTACCGATTCGGACGTAAAAATTTAACTAGAACGGAAAAAGAATATAAGAAACAGTTGGGGGAAAAATGCTGAGATTGACAATTTGAGCTTAAGTTGAGCTTGACTTTAAGATTGTGCAATGAGAAAAAGTGTTAAAAAATTATTTAATTTGAAAAATTATTTATAATAAAAAATTAAATATTAAATTATTTAATTATATATGAAATAATAATGAAAATAAATTTGTTTCTAATAGAATATTTTTTTTTATTTTAACTTGAATTGCATAAACTTGGCCTAAATAGAAACAAATAAACACAGCTGAAAACATATTTAAGGACAAAAATACATAAATTTTACAATTGCAATTAGATAAAATCAATTTTTCCGTTGAAGTCAGTTAAATAAATGTTTTCAGAGTGTGTGGCATTGTAAAATTAAGGAAAAAAAATTTTTTTTTTTATAAAATTCTACAAAGAACAAAGTTTCACTTACTTAACTTACTGCTCTCATTTGACTTAGACTTGTCTTTGAAATTTCGTACTGCAAATTGCAGCATTAACAAGTATGCAAAAAATCTATCTTAGCACAAAAAAATAAATTTTGTATCTCAAAAAAAAAAAAACAAAAAAAAAAAGAAAATACCGAAAAAATATACGCGCGTGCAGTTGTCTACTTAAGCCAAAAAATTTACGCTAAAAACAGTTAACAAGAGAACAGTTAATATTCGTAACTACTACGCGAAAATCGTAACTAATAAAAATTAAAAAAAAAATAAAAAAAATAACGAATTAACAAAAACAAATACTACGCGTTTCCATTGCTTCTTTTATGGTTTTAAGTTTTTAAGTTTACTCGAATGCCTCCTAAAATTACCACAAAAATAGTGTAATCAGTTAAAGAACAACTTGAGCGCGGCTTAAAAATAACGACTTATAAATAGTAATAAAAACGTTAACAATACAAAACGAATGAACGGTTTTTTGCTTCTAAACTATGTTTACTGAAGTATACGGGCGAAATCTATACAAAACCACGGATTAAAGCAATCGATGTGGGTGAATTGGTAAGTTGAGAAAGAAGTAAATATTATGTATAGAAAAAAAAACACAATTACTTAAAATAATTTAAGACAAACCGACAGACATTTGAGAGGTAAAAAAAAAATCTCAAAAGAAAAAAAATGTATCTAAAAAATTGGTTAACAAGTAAGTAACGCTTTTTGTGGCAAAATCTTGTAGACGGACAGTCAGTTTTTGTGATACAATTGCTGAAAAGCGCGCATGCAAATTGACCAAGTGATCAATTTGAAATGTGAGCTGTTGCACATGCGCCAAACTCATGCAAAATAAACTTTAAAACAAAAAAAAAAATATACAAAAAGTCTGGATATTCAGACTCAGCGGTACTAAAATTCAAATCCAAATCTACAACGAATACCCAACCAAATAGACACCGCCGCACGCTCAGAAACCTACAAACGAACAGGCTGACCTAACTGACTGACTGACTGACTGTATGACTGAGTATTCGAGCACATATCTTTGTGTATATTTAATATCTTTTAACTTGGCCCAAAGACGGCAAACGGGGCTATAATAACTAGCAATATTGCTAGAAGTAAAGATACACTCATGTACAATAATATGTATAAAATCAAGAAAAAATCATTTTTATTTATATGTACGTCAAGGTCATGGATGTGAATGAAAGTGTTTCTATATGTATATGTAACATTACTAATACAATATATAGCAGCGTTGTACCGACATATCTGTGCATTTTTTTTTTGTATCTGTGTATATTGCATTGACTTGGCTTTTAAAAGAAGTTATAATCCGAAATATCCAAAATAATAATGAGAAAAAAAAAATTATTAATAAATATGTTGGAAAAAAAATATGTAATCAATTGATATTTAAAATTCCAAAGGAAATAGATGATTGACAGGCTAAATAAATGAAATAACACCTAAAGAAATATAAGTACAATACCCAAAAAAAAATTTTTTCCAAAAAAAAAAATATATCGTTTCTTTTATTTTTTTTTTATTGTTTATATTATGTAGTTAGCTTAATTTTTCATATCATGAAGAAACTTGGTCAAATTGTGTACTCATAAAATTTGAAGAAACTAAAAACAACAACAATAACGACAATCTAAACAATAATAATAATGAAAAAAAAGTTACAACAAAAAAATGTGGTTATTAAAATCAGTGTTTCTTTCATTGTTTTTCTGTACTTGGCTAGGCTGGCTATGGAGGTGTTCATGGTGGTGGTGCTAGTGCTAGTGATGGTAGTACTGGTGCTGGTGCTGGTGCTAGTCGTCATGTTAGTTGATATTATGCGGTTATTGTTATGATTACAAATAGCAGTAGTTGTAGTCTTCAATACCTATCTATCTTTCTAAATCTCAAGTTAAATGGAAATCAAAAACCAATCACGTGTTGCAATGAATTTTTTATGCTGCAACTATCAACAACAATACCAATAACACCAGCAGCACAAATAGCACCAACAGCAACTGTTCAAAAACAAAAAAAAAAATGCTACCAACATCACCATCACCAGTACCAGCACCAGCACTAGTAATACTTGTACCAATAAACCAACACCGACAGCGATAGCAACACTAAAACTATCAGAAAATTTATAATAGTTAGTGGCATTTTAACCAAGTTAGTAACAACAATTGGCGCTGTTATTATCTTCTTGTTCTTTTTGTTGTTGTTTAGTTATAATACATATATTAATTTAAAAAAAAACAACAAGTAAACAGCAAAAAAAATCTATTTATTGTACTATTATCTTAACTAGCTGTAGTCGCGGCACATAACCGCACAATATATGTAAGAATTCTTCCTAACAAGATACTTCTTATTAGTTTCAAACAGTAACTATGATTTTAACACAATTTCTTTAAAGTTTATAATATTAAATAAAATAAAAATTCATATATATGCCTAAAGCATTAGACTGCCAAGGTTCAATTTAAACAAAGTCCATTGAAGCTGAATTGAAATCATAACTTAAAAGATATTTAATAGAAATTGTGACTATAACATATCATTATCACTATGATTAACATAAGAATCTTCTATTTTCGTTCACCAACATTAGATCATAATCTTAAGCTTTCGCTCTCCAACACCATATGTGCAGATTTCTTAAATATTCCAGCCTATTAGCAAATTGTCTATTTAATTTTAATGTTTTCTTCTGGGCAATTAGGTTAATTTTATTAAATTAAAAGTAATATAAATATGATTATATGTAAATATATTGGGTTTCGCTATTGTTGTAATTTTATAAAAAGTTTCATGGTTTCAATTTTAAATATTGAATACAATAAACATTCCAGACACCCCTGAAAAACTTAGCAAAAACTAAAGAGACATTGGGTTAATGATAAAAATTCTATTTCTATTTATATCCCAAGATATAAACTAAATTTTACTTTTATTAAAAATCTTCAACTTAAGAATTTTAGTTAAAAAGTTCAATATTTTGAACATCTTTAACATTCGTCTTCAGGAAGTTTATACAACAACTATAAATATATATGAAAGTATAATCATCTGTTAAAAAGTTGCTGTCTTCGACTAAGTAATTTGTTATAAATGTATCTTTTACAACATTTTTGTCAGGTATAATTTATATCTTCACCACTAGAGTCCCTTTAATTTTGTTTAACAAACACGAATTACATTTTCCGATAGCAACTCTAGGATTTATGGCATCCAATGTATTCAATGCAAAAAGCCCAGTTCCTTGTTTTTGTTATTAGAAAAGTTCAATGCATTCTTTTAGACATGGTAGTAACTATTTTATCGGCTATATAAAAGGTCAGTATATTTTATTACATTATATATTGTACTAAATTATGTTTGATATGAATTAGATATTACTTGTTATTTTGCCAACAACAGTTGCTGGTTAGAATATTTTTGAATATTGTGGGTAGTATATATTGTATATAGCGATAATGTACTTTTTAAATATCAGACTTTCACATAATTTTTAATTATAAGACATCTCAACAATTTATTTTTTACTTGGTTTTATTTAGTAACTAACCATTTTGTTCAAATACTACACACTTACTGTAATTAAAGCTACCTCTAATGCGTACCCTCAGTACTCTAATGAGTACTCAACTTCTCCTCGTACTCTAATGACTTCTCTTAGTACTCTAATGAGTACTTTCAGTACTCTAATGAGTACTCTCAGTACTCTAATGAGTACTCTCAGTACTCTAATGAGTACTCTCAGTACTCTAATGAGTACTCTCAGTACTCTAATGAGTACACTCAGTACTCTAATGAGTACACTCAGTACTCTAATGAGTACACTCAGTACTCTAATGAGTACTCTCAGTACTCAGCCTAATGATTTCTCTTAGTACTCTAATGAGTACTCTCAATACTCTAATAAGTACTCTCAGTACTCTAATGAGTACTCTCAGTACTCTAATATTTACTCTCAGTACTATAATGAGTACTCTGAGTACTCTAATGTGTACTCTCAGTACTCTAATGAGTACTCTCAGTACTCTAATGAGTACTCTCAGTACTCTAATGAGTACTCTCAGTACTCTATGAGTATCTCGTATCTATTGAGACTCTCAGTACTCTCAGGGTCTCTCAGTACTTCTATGGTCTTCAGTACTCTAATGAGTACTCTCAGTACTCTAATGAGTACTCTCAGTACTCTAATGAGTACTCTCAGTACTCTAATGAGTACTCTCAGTACTCTAATGAGTACTCTCAGTACTCTAATGAGTACTCTCAGTACTTTAACAACTATTCTCAGTACCTTAACAACTACTCTCAGTACTTTAACAAGTAATCTCAATATTTTAACAGATACGTTTAGTGCCTTAACAAGTACTCTCAATACTCTAATGAGTACTATCAATACTGTAGAAGTTATAAGGAAAAGAAAAAAGAAAATCTCAAATACCTTTTCTGTAGCTGCCTAGCTTTGGCTAGAAGCAGACTGACTTTCTTTGGAATTAAACGTTTGAGTGCTGCTCTTACAATATGCTTATGAACTTTATTCCATTTTCGTTTTGAATAAAAGGTACGTACGGCTATAAAGTGCTAATATTAAGTAATTCTTGTGATTTATTCAGGCCTTGAAATTGGACCAAGCCTAAAAATAGTTAAAGTTGCATGTAAGCAATAGATTGATCAATTAGCACGACTGCCACAATAACACATTGCAACCTGATAAATCCTTCCGTGCCCTCTGTTGAATATATTTCCCGGGTAAATGTATTTGATCTTTAAATATTTATAAATTTTATGTAAACATATATATATAACTAATTTTAATTATTTAAATTTTTAATACTTTTGCGCATAAGTAAATTATAAATATAATACGTTATCGAATAAGTACTGCATTATTTTAAATAACTTTTAACTAAATGCAGTCAGACTTTATATTAGTTTTCTTAAAACTGTTAAAAAATATTAACAAAAAAAAATACATAGATTTTCGTTTATTTATTATTAATTTTTTTTATAGTTTGGTAAGAAATTGCAGTTGCAACATGCAACGTTTAAGCCATAAACTTGTTTCAAATGTTATTGGAAATCAAAATTACTTTAAAGTAACGTCAGTACTTCGGCAGAAAATTGCACACAATAATACAGAAAATACATTTAAAATTGCATATAATATATAAAAAAACATATATATAGTACATAGCATATCGTGTTTATATCTACATATATAGATAGTATATTTAATAAGTAAATGTCTACATTTATAGATACAAGATACAAGATACAATAAATAGTATAGTATGCGCATACATGAAATAGTTATATTAATAGATGGAGAACTGCATGCGAACGTGGCTCCAACAATTAAAGTTCCAAGTTAATGACAACAATAGTTTAAGCAATGAAGACTAAAAAAATTCGATAAAAAAAGAAGAAATATTAATATATATAATAAAAAAAAGGAATAATTAAAAAATATGAAACTAAGTATAAAAAAGTTATATTGAAAAGCCAATTGCATTCCAAACAATTGTAATGCAACTTAATTGTTT